TTTTGCATCATGTCAAAATATCACTTGTAGTGAGTGCCTCCTGAGAGGATCTAATGTGAACAATTTTCTTATGTGTTTTCACATGATATCATGACTGTACTAGAATTTAAACTAATTTAAAGTGAACTATATTCATACTACTTCTCAACCTTTCCTGCAGAAAGAGTTGAATGAGGAAATCATTATGCAATGAATTTACAATTACTCATAAATCTTATATTTGTTTACCTGAAGTAAACATATATTATTCTATGAACCAAATTGTATAAATAAAGGTGTTGGATGCTTTTAAGCATCTAGACAAACCTAGAAACAACACATGAATTAAAATCTTTGGATTGGAATGGTGTTTGATTACATAATAAATAAAATATCTAGTCATTATATTGTAAACACCTGAAGTGTTTGTATACTAATTTGAGATCCTAGGAAGATCAAAACATGTCACATTTAAGTTTTATGGACCAATATTTGAGAATACTCAATTATTGAATATTTGACATGCATAATAACAATAAACTTGATGGTCTTGAAATACACATTGCAGAATCATGAAGTTAGACAATTGCTTCCGCTTATCGTATACTTTCACCTAAACATATTGAGTTGTTGTTGAAGTGGAACAATTAATTGGTCCAGAAGACCATGTGCTATTCTTTTTCCTTCCTTAGCCAAGTTTTTGTCCCAAAGGGTTTTTCTTGGCCAAAGGTTTTAAGATATTTTGTGATTTGTAAAGAATCAGAAAGATTCATAACATCCAGAAGACTATTATCCTCTAAAAGAGTGATTCTAATATTAGTTCGAAAGATAGTACCCTGAAGGTCTTAATTGATCCTTGTGAGATCGAACAATTTATTGGTCCGGAAGATCATTTGCAACTGTACTCTTTTTCCTTAACCAAGTTTTGTCCCATAGGGTTTTCTTGGTCAAAGGTTTTAACGAGGCAGTTTGTGACTTTGAAATAACATATTATGATACATAAAATTCGGAGTATTATTTTTCTTCTATAAGAGTAAATTCAAATGCAATCCAGAAGATTATGCCCCGAAGGCCAGTGACTGTACTCTTTTCCTTTACTAAGTTTTTCCCACATGGTTTTCTTAGCTAAAGGTTTTTAATGAGGCAGTCAATCCAACACATCGGTTTACATATATTATGTACTCTTATCCTTGATTGGTTTTTTCCCAAAGGGTTTTTCCAACAAGGTTTTTAATGAGGCATACTCATAGTTGAATTTTCGCTACAAGGAGTTGATCATCAGATTATATTGGATTCTACAAGAAGTTTTGAAGTGATGCAGTCAACAGGGGGAGTATATACGCGGCTTATGCGCTGCACTCTTTTTCCCTTGATCAAGGTTTTGTCCCACTGGGTTTTCCTCGGCAAGGTTTTTAACGAGGCAGTATTACCATAGCGTATAGAGATAATAATGTAAATTTTTCTTGTAATGTATTTTATTTAGCAATGTACATCCAAGGGGGAGTGTTATGTAATATGTGGATGTCCATTAACCCCCAAGCCCATATGTTCTGGCCCATATCAAGTGTAACACTAGCTCCCTTCTCCTTGTATATATAGATGGCTATATGTGAATGAATTATATGCTTTTGATCTTGTTTATTATAGTTTTTTATTTATTTGTTATTTTTTTTCAAGTTACTGTATTTTTTCGATTCATTTTAGGGATTTTCCTTTTTAGTGTTGATCTTATGGAGACAAATTTATCTGAGATTGGAATTTCCATTTTATTTTATTCAAATATCGTTCTAATTGTCAAATTTTAACATACATGATCATTATCGCATGATGACATGATCATTATCGCATGATGACATCTTTATCTTTATATAATATAAAGTAACAATGTTTGCATCACAATTAGAGGGAAAAGTTCCGCCCAAATTAGGAGGATATTTGGAAGTTATTGTAGAACATATAAGTGAAATCCTGCCCATGAGAAGAAACCATTTACTACACACGTGACACGTATGCTTTTTGTATGGTAAGTTAGATCATGCACTGCCTAGAAATCATGATCAAATAATACACGTATGAAACTACGAATGTATAGTATGATGGAGCATTCATTATAATTACTTAGCATTTAATACATTTATTGCTTAGAAATTATACATGGGAATGAATTCATAACCACCGAGAGGTAAACCATGTATCAGAAGAAATTCTAACCTGCTATATATAAAAAGTGTATATAACAAATTAAACTAAAAATCAGAATAGTGTAAATATGCAACCGGGATATTAGACTACCAACTATGAAGTAATATTGGCACAAAGGAGAGTAGTGAGGTTTCTAAGATAAGTATACTTATGTGGTTTATGATGAATTGATAAAATTTGAATAAAGTAAATTGAATTAGAACACCCAAATATTACCAAATATGGTATGAGACAAATTCAGTAGGATGGACGGACGGAAAAGAAAAAAATGAGACAATTATAGTGGGATGAAGGAGTAGTTCTTTATGTATTCTCTATGAAATACTTTCAACAAAGCCGTTGTGACCATATTTGTGTGGCATTCTTTGCAAGTGAAAATACATTTCTTTATGTATTCTTTGTGAAATATCGTACTTCTAGGAAATCTTTGTGACATTTTAGAAGTTTTTTCTGTGAACTATAAATTAAAAAAGAAAACTTAAACACATAATTTCTTTCACCTTTCTTCACCTCTTTGTGCATGCAAAGAAATTCGAATGAGTTCCAAATATATAGCATAGCTACTCAGAGTCAAAAATCATGAAAGACCACAAAGCTTAAAGTCTCAAACCAAAATTTAGAGAAAAAAACTTATTTTTCTCTTTATCCAATAAAACTTGCTGCACATGTGATATTTTAAAGACTTCGCAAATTTGGTGAAGCATCTTGAAGTTGTTGAGCTTTGTTACTTAGCAACCTATAAGTAGTAAACAGATTAGAGCAACAATTGGAGGGGAAAATCTCACCTAAAATATGAGCAAGATAGGGAATTAATGAAAAGCAAATTTAGTGATTAATTATATTAGGTACGAAATTTATAAATGCTGTACTAATAATATACACCATCTATGTCATCTATGTAAGTAACCTAACGTCAGATATGGTTTTCTTTTATAAAATTATGTAGCCACAAATGCATATTTTACAGTTGATTGTCTAATTTATTACGAATGCTTAATAAGGACAATGTAAGGAATGATGCAGGGTGATATGCACTAATTAGTAGTGCATAAATGTATATTTTTATGTTTGATTTGTGTGTATTGTTTACCATTTTTATTAGTTTGTAAACATTTGTTTTATTTGGTTTGTAATTGTATTTTAGTTCTCATTTGTAAGTTGTAAAGTAGACTTAGGATGTATAATGTTGAAAAGGAGGACTTTGAAGTGAAGAAAAAGGAGATTGGACTGTCCAGAAGCTGAAACCCGACCGGGTATAACACTTGACCCGGTCGGGTAAGATTTAACAGACGAAGGTGCCTGGAAAATCACTGGACCCGGTCCGGTCCCCTATTCCACCCGGTCGGGTCAGACTTGACCCGGAACACCAGAACGTGGAAGATTATCTGATTTTGACTAGACCCGGTCAGGTGAGCACTTGACCCGGTCGGGTATCCGGCCCAAGGTGTTGAAAAACACCTATAAATAGCACACTTTCCTTTCACAAAGAATCATCCCTTCTTCCATACTCTTAAGCTCAGTTTAGAATAACATTTCTTTATATTTTTTTAGCTATGTTTAGTCTCCAAATGAGGAGCTAAACTCTCATTTCTTGACGTTGCTCTTGAAGCTTGTTAATTATTAAAGTTGTGAGTTATTTTCTTAATTTCTTCCCTTGAATATTAATCATTCCCTTAATCTATCTATACATTCATGTTGGGGAGTGTTACTAAGATGACAATTAGTTAACATCTCGACATTAATTATAGTAGTATTTATTTACTTCCTCTATATTAATGTTGGGGAGTGTTGCTAAGATGACAATTAGTTAACATCTTGACATTAGTTATAGTAGGATTATTCATCTTTAATCTTCTTCCTTGAATATTAATTCTTCACTTAATCTATCTCTATATTAATGTTGGGGAGTGTTGATAAGATGACAATTTGTTAACATCTTGACATTAATTACTACTAGAAACGATCAACGAACCAATGGTTAATCGTTGATGGTTTCACAAGTAAGTAACTTCGGTTTATTAATGCACGGTCGTGGTTAATAAACTTAAGAGAGATTAATTTGGTTGGTTAAACCGAAACCGATGTGTTGAGGTTACCAATCTCAATTTATTTCATCAAGGAGTTAAGAGATTAAATGTTACTATTAAGTCGGTATATGACGGTGTTCTATACTTGACTAATAGTAAGGGTTATTAATGAACGGTCGTTGTTAATAACTACTCTCGATGAATTGGATATACTCCTCGATTGAGTATTCAAGAGGGAATAAGTTATAGATATAACAATGATCGACTAAAATATATCAACAACTGGAAAGTAGCAATGCCAAGTCCTTTTTATCTTTGAATTAAATCTCATATAAGTCGTTCATCTTTGTATTTAATTAAATTAAATCACTCAATCCCAAAACCCCCCTTAGTTACTAGTTTTACTAAAAAGAGAATTATTCCTTTCCCTGTGGATACGAACTCTACTATGCTATACTACGTATAAGTGTTAGTACTGAATATTATTTTGACGCACCGTGACAAAGTGCACGTCAAAATTGGCGCCGTTGCCGAGGAAAGACAATTATTTTTCTTTTTATTTTATCTCATAAAAAAACACAATATATATATATATATATATATATATATATATATATATATATATATATATATATATATATATATATATATATATATATATATATACACACCATATTATAAGAGAGAATTTTGTCAGGGGTTTAACAGGCATAAAAAAAATGTTAGTGTCTCTTCATGTATGATGTGGTTGTACTTTATATTTATTGTGTTGTACTATATTAACCTATCCCGGCTTAGGTTACTAACAGCGGGTTTCAGCGTATACTTACGGAGGAAAAAAGTTCACTGGTGTCGTCCATCTCCCCAGAGAGAATACATATTCCTGGATGAAACCTATCACCTCTTCCAATGAAACCCCTCACCTCCCCTCTTCCGTTTCAGCCTCCCTACATTTTACCCTCATAGTAATGGCGTCGGTACATCCATTTACTTACTCAAAGGTCCGGTTGTCCATTATAAATAATCCGTCCCAGCTGTTCAGGAGATTTTCGGATTCATGGATGGTCTACTCCGGTAAGTTTTTCCCTTATTCAAGCGATTACATTGTTCTGCGCATCTATTCTCAATAATACATGCGCCTTCTTGTACTTGCTTCCCTGTCTGTGATGATTATTTTGTGCTTCCCTTTTTTCAATTTTACTGGCTCCGTAACTCCTCTGTCCTTGTAGTGTTCGTGCTTGTAGAAATGTCTACAGCAGTAGTTTGGGTGGTTTAGGTTGATTGTTCCATCTTCCAATTGTGTGGTTTCCCTTTACTATATATGTCCTCTATGTGTTTGATTAAATGTCTCCATGAAGTACAGTGGGTGCACTCCCATAAATGTATGGTCTAGAAAGTGTGATATCGTGGAATGTAGCATGTATGTCGTATACATTCATTTCTACACTAAAGTTTAAAAGAAGATGTCATTCCGAGCTCCAAATTTCAGTTCATTTTTTAACTTAAGAAAAGAAATATTCTTGAACAGATGGATTTATATTAGATACTTTTTCTTACTTTATTATCAACTTAAAACTGTTTTTTGATTATAGGCTAATAGACTCAAATTAGCACTGTTTTTAAAACCCCAAATAGATAGGTTTATATTCGATACTTTTTTTTCTTCATCATCAACTTAAACTGTTTTTTGATTATAGGCTAATAGACTCAAATTAGCACTGTTTTTTAAAGTGTGTTATGCCAACCGCGTTATGTCAAAGTGTAATAAAAAATTTGATTAAATTGATGAATGCAATCTACAAAATAACGCTACAAGTTTTATTCATTTTATCCATTTTTACGTAATGTCAACGCATAAAATGTTTTTTATAATTACACCCTCTAACACGGTTCAATAATGATCTATTTGTTCAGATTTATGTTTTCCTTGAACTGGAATATATTAATTATGGTTTTGGGATGCTTCTTGGGTAATGGGTTATTTCTTATTGGGATCCTATTTCATATCCGTTCCAGATTTGCTAATATTACTTTTATTTTGCAAAAATCTTCTCTTATCGTAAACAAAACTTGGTTTCATTTAAAAAACTTAATTTTGTTAAAAACTTATTGCCCTTAGGATTGTAGAACATACTTAGACTCATTCAAATATTACTCGAACAAATTCCACTTTGCTAAAACGAGTTCTAGGGAAAGAATTCTAAACCATCACTCAGTTCCTTAATTTTTTCCCACCAGTTTCTCTATGTGAGATGTCTTGAAATTTAATGTTCCGGAATGCAAGCAATGAGGAAATAGTTTTGTATATAGTTTTGTATACTGTTCGTTCTCCTGTGTGGCATTAGTTTGAATGACCCATGAACAGAAAACTTTATATGTAGCTTGAGAGAATGCATTTTCAAACGAAGAAAATAGAGCAGCAACTTAAAGAATCAGATCATACTCCATATCATTTTTTGTGATATTCATGGTTTTGGTGGCTGAAGCATGTTCAAAAGCCTGGGATTAGTATCACATGAAAAGAAAATGATATCAGAAAAAGAATCAACTCTAAGCCTTTGATTTCGTTCTAGATTATTAATTTTATTTTGCAAAAGTCAACGTTTATCGTAAACAAAACTTGGTTTTGTTTAAAAACTTAACTTTGTTAGAAGGTTTCTCTTTAAACCTTCATCTTTTGGATCAATCTTTGACTATTTTTTAAAACTCCTGCTGTTAGTTTTTTTTATATGTTAGTCTTTGGGCACGTGTGTATGTGTGGTCTTATTTCAATCAACTTTGATTTGATGAATTCTGTTTCAATGAAAGTATAAAAGACCATTATTGATTCCATAGCAGAAAAGGTGGAAGCATCCATACGCACCGGTGAATTTTCCATTTCCATTTGTGCATACAAAGTTGTTGTGTGTTTGTTTTTACAATATTTGTCTAAGTTTTCAAATAAGTATCTAATACCTTAAAAAAATCAGAAGATGTCTCATTTATATTTCTAGGAATTTAGTGTCTTTAAAGTCCTCTTAAATAAAAACCTTCTTAAATCCCTATGCAATTTCAGCTCTGAATTAATATGTTTGTGTAGATGTGATAGTTAGTGTGTGTTGTAGTAATTTTGTTTGAAAAGAATGGTTTAATGGATCATAGGATACTTAGCAGATGATATTGGGGTCCTCTTTGATTTTTTTTCCCAGATATGCTAATATCACTTTTATTTTGCAAAAATCATGTTTTAGAAATATAAAGATAGTTAAAAAGTATTTATCTTAAGCGATAGCAGTGCGTTTATTGGTTTATTTAAAGTGTTTTGGGTTTTTGCTTATTTCAAAGACTAATTTCATCTTCTACGTGCTTTGTAACATCTTTTAGGCTTGAGAGATTGTTTGTAGTTCGACCTCAACGTGTTTCATCTGGAGGTAAGATGATTTTCCACATTCCATTGCATTGTGGTGAGGAGGATGCAATGGGTACTCCAAGGTCAGATATCAAATTTACTCATTAAATATATGGTCAACCAATTCTGAGTCAAAAAAGTTAAACAAAACTCTAATGATAATTCTTGGATTTTTTATGAAGTTGTTAGATCTAAAGTTAATGTCTCAATCACCGATGCTACTTCAACAATTGATGTCTCGGTTTTTGGGCAATGCGTCGAGAAACTTCTGCTTATGACTAGCAAACAGATTATGGAGGTAGAGTTACAGGTTGACCACTTACCAACCCACAATAATTTAATATTTTAAAATAAAATATATGAACTACTATAATTTCGCATTGCACAATATGTTGACCCCTCTTTATAAATTATGAAGGGAAAGAAGGCATCATTTCAATATGCAAATAAGCGCTTGGATAAAGAAGAATATATTGTAGAGTTGAGGTCACAACAAAGTACCTGTCAAAGCAAGCCAGGACCCTCCTACACCATAACATCCTTGCATGATGCATCTCATTACATTGTTACAACCAACATTGATCCAGCAACCCCACCTTCGTCAAAGATGAAGCTCCCACACTCGGGAGTAGAGGACTCCCCTGTTGATCTCAAGCGCAAGAAAAAAGCTTGATTGCTTATCGCTATTTCCCACTACTTCTATTACTCGAACTATTTTCTTAGAATTTATGCTTTAATTTTCTTCAAGCTCTATAGCCCAATAAATATTTGACTATTTCTCCGATTAAAACATTTTTGTGTTTATTATGTGTGTTTTCATATAAAACACAAATACATGCTACGGTTTCATGTGAATCTCACTAGTATTATGTTTACTACAATCATCTTGACTATTTTATTTTCCCACATATATTCTATCCTCTAAATGCTTTATTGTTTATGAATCTTTATCCACAAATAACAAATTATGTATTCAACTGTTGTGCTCAAATTAGTCATATTTTCATTAAACCTTAACTCAGATATTGTTGTCCCTACATTGGCATTGGGCATTACCACGAACGTGCAACGCGCGTTATTAAACTAGTGTGTGTGTATATATATATATATTTAGAACACCCAAATATTACCAAATATGGTATGAGAACACTAGAACGTGGAAGATTATCTGATTTTGACCGGACCCGGTCGGGTAAGCACTTGACCCGGTCGGGTACTTGGCCCAAGGTGTTGAAAAACACCTATAAATAGCACACTTTTCCTTCACAAAGAATCATCTCTTCTTCCATACTCTTAAACTCAATATAGAATAGCATTTCTTTATATATTTTTAGCTATGTTTCGTCTCCAAATGAGGAGCTAAACTCCCATTTCTTGGTGTTGCTCTTGAAGCTTGTTGATTATTGAAGTTGTGAGTTATTTTCTTAATTTCTTCCCTTGAATATTAATCATTCCCTTAATCTATCTATACATTAATGTTGGGAAGTGTTACTAAGATGACAATTAGTTAACATCTCGACATTAATTATAGTAGTATTTATTTACTTCCTCTATATTAATGTTGGGGAGTGTTGCTAAGATGACAATTAGTTAACATCTTGACATTAGTTATAGTAGGATTATTCATCTTTAATCTTCTTCCTTGAATATTAATTCTTCCCTTAATCTATCTCTATATTAATGTTGGGAGTGCTGATAAATCTGACAATTAGTTAACATCTCAACATTAATTACTACTACAAACGATCAACGAACCGATGGTTAATCGTTGATGGTTTCACAAGTAAGTAACTTCGGTTTATAAATGCACGATCACGGTTAATAAACTTAAGAGCGATTAATTTTGTTGGTTAAACCGAAACCGTTGTGTTGAGGTTATCAATCTCAATTAATTTCGTCAAGGAGTTAAGAGATTAAATGTTACTATTAAGTCGGTATATGGCGGTGTTCTGTACTTAACTAATAGTAAGGGTTATTAATGAACGGTCGTTGTTAATAACTACTCTCGGTGAATTGGATATACTCCTCGATTGAGTATTCAAGAGGGAATAAGTTATCGATATAACAATGATTGACTAAAATATATCATCAAGTGGAAAGTAGCAATGCCAAGTCCTTTTATCTTTGAATTAAATATCATATAAGTCGTTCCTCTTCGTATTTAATTAAATTAAATCACTCAATCCCAAAACCCCCCTTATTTACTAGTTTTATTAAAAAGAGAATTATTCCTTTCCCTGTGGATACGAACTCTACTACGCTATACTACATATAAGTGTTAGTACTGAATATTATTTTGACGCACCGTGACAAAGTGCGCGTCAAATTTGGCGCTGTTGACGGGGAAAGACAATGATTTTTCTTTTTATTTTATCTCATAAAAAAACAAATAAAATATATATATATATATATATATATATATATATATATATATATATATATATATATATAATCTTACTCTTCTATTTTCTGAGATTACATGGTAAAGAACAAAATGGTCAAGCTCAAAGTGGTTTCTCCTAAAGGACTTATCCAGATAAAATGGAAGATTAATGAATTCAATGGGTGACTAATGCCTTCATCTTCTCAATAAGTAGGTTATAGTGCAAGCAGTTTAAGCCTAAACACTTCAAAGATGTTCTAAAAGCACAGTCAAAATGCTAGCCAACTCACAAATACATAGTTTAAAGAAAAATTTTCCAAAATTTGACATGAAATTTCTGTGAATATACAACAAACACCTGCGCATGCTAACTCTAATAATCTCGTTTAATAAATGTTGCCCGAATGCCCAATTCACTCCCCCACACTTAAACTTTGGCATCGCCCTCGATGGTCAAAAAATGCACTATGCACAAGGGGGTAAAGAGGAAAGGGTAACGCGTGCTCAACCCAACTCAAGACAACAATTAACGCAGACAAACATAAAGGTCATGGATACTTCCCTTGGGGCGTTGTTCGATGCAGAACTAAACTGAGTCAAGTAATCCTCGGCATATCATCCCGAAAGTACACTCCGAGCTGCAAAAACAAAGCATACAAACACAAAAACACACAAAGACAAAGAAATAAGCTAAAACAAAAGTGCAAAAATAAGCTTGGGTTGCCTCCCAAGAAGCGCTATTTTTATCGTTGTTTGCCCGATGATACATCATATCCTCTCAAATAGCAAAGACTGTAGTGGGGCACTGATTTTCAATTTATCCAGCTTTCCCTCAACAAATGCCCATAAGTGGTGCAGATTCTTAAACTCTTGGAACCACGTAGGAATCACATGGTCTTCAAAAACCTTATCAGCACAGAAGTGAAGGATCAACCTCACATCCTCCTTGAGTGGACATAAAACACGAGTGAACACTTTGATTACTCCAGGCATCAATGGAAGCTCAAAAGATGCTTCAAAGAAAAGATCTGGAGCAACATCGTAGTCGAACTGCAGCATAGAAAAGTCTTTTTCTTCCTCACAAATATCATGAAAATTCACAACATCTCCTCTGGACTCTGTATAACTCCCCATGTGAGCATCCCAACTCTCGTTAACACCGTTTTTATCAATGTCTTCTCGGATGATGTGGTCGTCATTGATAAAAGGATCACCATCCTTCAGCGGTGAATCAAACAAATCCAAATCTAAGACAATGCACGAGTGAACATCTAAATATGTACATGACAGTTCTTCTTTCATAGGGATAGATGCTTCTTTATTGTGATCAACTGCCTCAAGGTGTTTCCCATCTGTATGCGTGACAGCCTCAACGTGTTCACTCAGATTGTTTTCAGTGTCGCTAGGATGGGATCTCTTAGACTCCCCAGATTGATCTTCTGCCAGCTGACTCATTAGGCTATTGATATCCCGCATGATGGCTGAAGTACTCTGCATGATAATCTCTTCGAACTCAGACAGACTCTCTTAAAGTGTCTTCTTAACTTGATTCTGTGGCTCATTATTCAGCAAAGATGTAGGAATAGCTGAAACATTTGTGTTCATAAAGTGTGGGGAAGAAGAAGTGGGGTATGTAGTTGCCTAGTAAGGATGGTCGTATGGAGGAATGGGGCAAAGACATAAATGGTGACCTCCTCCAGAGAAGGAACAAATGCTAATTTTAGGAAAGCAATCAGCCAATTCCTCGGGGCTTTTAGTTTGAACAAGATATTCAAGAATGGAGCCTCGTTTTGCCCTTGAATATTGTGAATACGCATAATGATGAGGGGATTGAGATTGAGGATGTTGCGCATTTGGAGGAGTGTAAGAATAAGAAGACTGGCAATTTTGTTCTATGGGAGAGTAATATTGATGAGGAGTGTAATAGTGATAGGGAATGTAAAGAAGGTAGAGCGTATATGGTGAATATTCCGTGGAGGTTTGAGGGAATGATGTTCATCCAGGAATTGAGCTGAATGGGTTCATCTCATGCCTCTTTAATATACCTGAAAGTTATGCACAGAAGAAATCCTACTAAAAACCAAAAACATAAATTGCCGAAATTAATTAACCCTAAAAACCGACAACGTCCCCGGCAACGGCGCAAAAAACTGATGTGAGTTTTCTCGCACTTAAAGTAGATCGTAGTAAAGTGTAGATGTATGATTATCGACTCCACAGGGACGGACAAAAGCGAATTAAGAATTAAATAAATTTAGCGATTAAAAACAAATAAAATAAAATAAATTGTGCGAGATTGGTTGGTTTGGAAAATTAAAATGCAACAAACGAATGAAAACAAAGTGTGGGGCTTTCTAATTAAAGACGAAGGGAACAAGGATTGAATCCGAGGCAATCAGATTTCTAGCTAATCAGGCTTAATTACATGAAATTAATATAAATAAGACTCGCTAATCATTACTAAGTTCTTACCGTTCTCGCGGCGTAGAATACAATAATTTAGGGGACCAGGCTGATCTCTCATGCGACAGGATCCTAAAATTATTTCCAAAACGAGCGAGTGTATGACCCCTTAATCGTTACTAATCTCTTAGCAAACGATTAAGTGTGTGTGAAGGTGTCATAGAATAAATTATATCTCTCTTAATTTATTCTACAAACAATTGTAATTCTAGCGGCCGTTCTAGGTTACAAGAGAACAATTTAATCATTCAAACACAAATTAAATACATTCATGCAATTAATCCATCATGAAATTAGCCATACGTCATAATTAACCCCTTCATCAGCCCCAAATTCCTAACTAAGACTACTCACAACTCATAATTGAAGAATCAATAGAATTGGGATGAACAGAATTAATTGTCATTAATTAAAAATAAGTAACTTACAAATAATCCAAGGGAATTGAAGAACAAGATCGAAAAGTAGAAGAAATTTTGTCCATAGGCCTCCCTCTAAGCTCCTATTCCTCAAAATGGAGTATGGAGGCCTTATTTATAGAAAACAGATAAAATCACCCTCAAACTAGGATTTCCAGACTCAGGCTCCGAGGCTCGGTGTTCCTATTGGTCAGACACGACCGTGCCTGGCCTCCAGTGGTTGGGTGCTTGTTTCTTCTACACGCACGGCATGCCTACTTTAAAGTAGCTCCAACTTTGTGTCCTTCATGAAAGTTGTAGCTAATGAAGTCCTCTATCCATCACATCTTGAAAAGCTGGATTTTGATCCTCCAATCAAAAGATATGAACAAACTGGTGGAAGGTCGCATCCTGAAATCTCAACAGAGATTATTTGACTTCATCGTCTATTTTCACCTTGCTACTCTCAGATTCTCGTAATGGTGTCTTCATATGATTTGTATACCTTGAAGTCAGCTTGCATATGGAACTTGAATAGTGTACATTGGATTCTTGTACAAAAGGGTATGCTTGAACGATTGACAGAAGATCATCCTGAACACCGTTTTCAAGCTCTATTCGTCTTCTTTTGATCCCGTAGCCAATCCTAGAGCTCT